AAAGAGTGAGTGGGGATTGGTTCTTTTTGTTTTACTTTTTCTTTTTTATTTTTAGGCAGGGTGGAGACCAGGGCTAGAGGGTGACAAGAGGAAACAAAAACAGTTTACAAAGGGCCAGAGTGCAAAGAGATGCATATTTCTACAAATTTTGTGGATTTTCACTTAGTACAACCATAGTCTTGAGCAGTGAAATGTCAAATGATTAACCAAACGTTATAGGAATTCCACATACATCCCCATTCTTGGACCTTATAATTGAGGTCTCTCCAATATGTTTACTAAATGACATTAAGAAATAATCAACTCAGTTTTAACTTTTAAACATGCAAGACAGATTAAAAGGGCAATAGTAAAAGCAGTGTGATGCTGGAAGAAACTAAAATTAGAAACAAAGTGGAGGTTCTTGGCTTTGGGTATCAGTGTGATCTGTGTATGCAGTATTTTTCATTGATTTCAAATGTGAAGTGCAACAATTTTTGGTTTACACAAGCACTTTCTTGGAAGTCGTCGTGGGCATCCTATGAGAATGTGCAGAGAGACACTGACATAAGCTTTCACTTAGTGGTTTCTGAAATTTTGTTGGGCTCATTAGAGACAAAGCCACAAATGGTACCTCCAGGCTACCTTAAAGGGACAACAGCCAACTAACTACATTATAATTGCTCAAAACCAGACATTTCACTTCCGGGTGATGTGCTATCAGAAGCATCTTGCAATCTTAATCCCTAACTTTGTTCAACAAAACTGGAAGTTGAACTGTCCACAAACAAACAAAAAAACAAAAAACTCATTTACCGAGTTGACACTTTGAGAAAGTCTTGGATTTTCAGTATGAGGAAACTTTACTTGAAATTTTCATTGTTCAAATATTGGGTAGCTCATCAGTTCAATGGTAATGAAAATTTTCTTCGATGTAGTTGCTGCATTTCAAGCCTTAGAGGTTCTGTCATTCAGTATTCATCATTTCATTCTCTGCTACCTTTAATTGGCCAGAGAGATGCTCATTGGTTTTGATAAACCGATACATTACTTTGTAGTTGCCTGTATCCATCGTCCCATCAAGTCCTCTCAATCCCTCTCTCTTTCACCCTGCCCCCACCACCAAGCTGAACACAAAGAAGTGCGGAGCTGCTGCAGCAGCTTTAGTCTGATGCTAATGCACATCCTCTCCCTGCTGCATACAAATGTGTCCTGACCCAGGCTTGCCTGTTTGCTTATCACTGAAGCTCCATTTGCTTGCAGGGTATTGACCACAGTTTAACTTGACACACGTGATTACTAACCAAGAAACTGTTATTTTGTATTCATCGCAACTTCCTTCTTAACAAGAACAATCTTTTAAATGAAAGCTTCAATGATGTTTTGTGTGGCACGGAGGATGATTCTACTTGAACTCTTTGAGTGACTGAACAAGCTAAATGTTGCTGGATCACTGGTGTGGGTGACAGAATATTAGATTCTTTTTGCCTGGCCTTAAATGGTTCAGTCTTGAGCCTGTCAGTCCTGATTAGTGTGTAAAGCAGTAAAGAGCGTGGGTTGCTGGAAAGGTTTTATTTTCAGAGTGAAATGCTCTCCTATTTGGCATTTGCACTGTTCATTTCCCTTTCACTTGATATCCACACATCTTATACTAGCATATCTGTATATTGATATTGTATGTAATAGCAAATCAGCAGACTGTATTTACTGTATTATGCTGTTGAAAATAGTGTGGTCACAGTGTGTATGGCATCTGTCATTGTACATTTAAAGTTTAATAATTTTGTTTTTGATGTCAGAGGTGACAGATATCTATGTGTTTTGCTATGCAATGTAGTGTGTTAGAGATTAACCACAGTTGAACAACACTCAGTGTTTCCCACAGGTTGAGAATTTATTTGTGGCAGTTGGCTGCCGTGGGCAGGAGCTCCAACAACTTAAGAGTCAGCTGCAAAACAGCATTGTGTTTATGAGCTCACATCAGATTAGAGAGGTTGTTTTTCCAATTAATATAATTGAACATAAATTCACCATTCTGCCAGTCTTTTAATCATAACACATTTGTAGTTGCAATTTCTGGCAGAAGAAATTTTTAAAATCCAAATTTCTAAAAACAATGAAAATGTGTTTTTGGCTATGGATGGTTGTTTTTGGTGTGGGTTGCCCAAATAAATTCTGTAAACAGGAAACACTTGAGAGCCTTTTAATCTAATGGAAGCTTATAGACGTGCCTAATTAATTCAGTGTCTGATTTGGTTAAAGTAATATCATTAGTGTATACTGAACAGAATTTCAGGGCTTTTGTTTGTAACATGACAAGAATGACACTTACTTTTTATTTATAATTCAGAATTTGAGTTCTGTCTTAGTGGACTTTAATGTATCATGGTTCTCCCAAAACAGTGAAACTATTAAACAAACATGATAATTGGTCCAATTCAATTGCCCCAGTGATTGACTGATTGGCTCACAGTGCCTGTAGTGCAGGTAGAAACATGATTTACATTTGCTCATTTAATAGAAATAAGACAAATCACATTTCTCCACTTAATGTATTTTGTTAGCAGATGGCCATTTGGCTAAGTATTTTCTCTGTGCTGCAGAATATAGACAACGTGGAGACAAATCTCACAGTTTACTATTTTCTCGTTTAAAATGATTGCCCCTGCCTGACATGAACAACCTTGCATTCATAGAAAAATAAATTTGTGACTATCTCTACGTTATCCCTAATCTGCCATGTCCAACTTCTGTCATTGTAGCATTCAACATATCTCACATATTCTCATATCTCACTTGTAGAAATTATGCTTTTTACATAAACTGGGGGAGGGAAATCAAAAAGCAAACCCTGTATCATCTGAAATGGTCAAATGGCAAACCATATGCTCTAGGAATAAATAAGAGTTCATACTTCACACTCTTTGTAAGGCAGTTGCTGACACTTGCACTGCCCATAGCCATTGATGATCACGAGTGCCCCCTCTTCATGGCTCGGCTCATACTCATTATAAGGTACCTGTGTTGCTAGATCTGCCATAGGCTGCCGCTGCTGGGTCCTCATCTGTCTGCGGTTCTGAATAGCCGAACAGTGGCGTATCCGGTGCAGGGTGGGGGGGCAGCACTTCCGTGAGATATACACAACGAAAATGATGAAAAAGAATGAAAAGAGAAGGGCCATAGTTCCAATGATAACCCTGTGAGTCATAACAGTGTTGTCCATTGCAGAGAAGTCATCCGTTACAGCTGCCTCTTCTAGTGTAGCCGTAGTTGCTTGAGCAGTGTGTTGTGTTTGTGTTGTGGCTGTTGTGGCTGTTGCTGTGGTAAAGCTCCCCAAATCCTCTGCATAGTCCTGTGTGGGGGTCGGCTGCATAATTCCAAACAAGGAGCTTGTGATCTCTGCGGCTGTAGTAGTGTCTGTTGTTGTACTAATTGGCTGAACAACTGGCGCTGAAAAATTCTGGCAAAGCTGGAATCCATAAACAGCATCAAGTATCTCCTCACCTTGGGCATATTCAGGACTGTGGCAGAGAATTGAATGTTCCCACCTTCCCTTAAAGGTGCTTAGCCAGGTGGCCAGAGAGCAAATCCTTTTGGTACATTCCCAAAGGTTGCTAGACAGCCCAATGGTACCAAGAGACTGCCACATATCCATGACTTGGTGATCCAAACTGCTTAGTTTGTTGTTATCCAGCAGTAAAATCTTTAAATTTGGGAGTGTTTGAAACACATCAGGTGTCAGGGCACGAATTTCATTTCCTGTGAGGTCCAGCTTCTCTAACGTGGTCCAGGTCCACTCCATGCCACATGTTAGGTTGCTGATCTTATTCCATTGCAGATAGAGAAACTGGAGGGCAACAAGTCGAGGAAAATGGGCCAAGTTGATCTTGGTCAGCTGATTGTGCTCCAGGTGGAGCTCCTTAAGCTTAATGAGGCCAGCAAATCCATTGCGGGCCAGACTCCGTAGACGGTTGCTGCTCAGGCCCAGATATTCCAGGCTGCGGCAGTCCCAGAATGCACGAACAGGTGTCGTGCGAAGTAAATTGGAGCGAAGGTGGAGTATTTGGAGCTTCCTCAATCCATGAAACAGTTCTGGTTCCAATGCAGTCATTTGATTGAAGGATAGGTCCAGTATCTGGAGATTAATGAGGTGGATGAAGGTTGTGTTGGGCAACTTGGTGATACGATTTGAGCTCAGATTGAGGTCCTTTAGCTTGTAGAGCCCTTGAAAGGCATCCTCTTGCACTGTGGTAATCTGGTTGTGGTCTAGATGTAGCCAGGTGAGCTGACTGAAGCCATAGAATTGATCAGGGCTGAGCTCAGTGATGCTATTGTGGCGTAGTGACAAACCCAGGGCTCCCTTGTCCACACCATCTGGTGGCGCCTGAAGCCCCTGGGTGTCGCAGTAGAACTGCAGGTCCTCACAGCGGCATTTTTGAGGGCAGGTTGTGCACGATGCAGGAGGCAGCAGGCACACCAGGAGCATGCTGATCACATACAGACACAGAGCCGCTGGTGCAGGTCCCACCAATGGCCACCTTGAATGGAAACCTGGGTGGGTTCAAAGATAAGAAAATGAACGGTGGGGCATGAAAGCTAATCTCTGCAGAGCACTTATTACTAATTCATAGTTCTGAGTGTGCTTTTTGTGTGTGCTCGTCCTTTCCCATAAATCAACCAGATTAGATATTTTATGTTGACAACTTTCACAGTGTATGTAAAATGATTTCTTTGAGTGCGGGTTTATTGGATGTGTCATTTATTTTGGAATCTAATCACTGGCTACATGAGCTGGACTGTTTCCACTCCCTTGCTTGTTTGTGTTTAACCTATTAAGTTCACATTTTCTGCTCTGTACTTTGGCTGAAATAGTAATTTTCTATTGATTACTCCCCTCCGTTTGTTAAATTTGCTGTTTTTTCCTTGTTAGCAGTTCAAACATGCTGTCGTCTTATGAATGTTTAATTTTGTATTTAATTTTTGAAGCCCCCCACCCCAAAATAGTTTGTAATGTAATTATTCACAAATTGAATGCTGGTCAAGAAGGAAAAATGAAGAACAATTCTAGTAAATAGATCAAGCTGAAGAGCTTGTAGTCCTCAGCCTCCTTCGCTTCTACTTGTAATCCCTATTCCTGTATAAAGGGACTAACTTACCCATTCTTTTGTGCACATCGGAGACTGCATTCAACTGTCCTTTTCCGCAGACTCTTGTAGCAACCAGATGGAAAAGAAATCCATAGGGAAAAAACCCTTTTGAGTAAGCACAAAAGGAATTAGCCTCTTTGGAAATAAAGCAATTCTGAGCCCACCCAAATGAAACAAAATATGAAATTCCATGTCCCAAGATGATGATTATTCCTCTTATTTTGCTTAGTCCTTTAAAATCCAGGCTTAGAAAAAGGATTGAATCTTTTCCTTCATCCCACAAACCTTTAAAATATATACATGTGTATATATATATATTTTTTTTAAGTTGATCATTCACATCCAGAGTGACTCTGGGTGAGCAGACCTTCCTCCTCGCTTGTTTCTTTTTCTTTCCCCCCTTTTGTTTTCCTTCCACCGCAGTGATGTCAGCTCAGATGGTTAATTGAAGATCAAGTGTTCCTCTTTCATGGTTGTGGTCTTCCAGCTCTAACTTGTTGATGGCAGCCAGTGATCCTGCTTCCGACGCCGGCTCAATCACAGCATAGCCTCTGCAGAGCTGTGAGCGAAGCCCTCGTCTGCTAGCTGAGACGCAGGGAGAGAGAAAAAAGCAAAGCAGGGAGTCAGGGATGTTATTCTGTGCTTTTTGTTGCAGACACTCACTGCTACAGAGTGGTGGCAGCCTGGCGTCGATCATCTCTACTGTTTCTCTCTCTCTTTTTCTCTCCCACAGACACAAACACCCTCTCACTCTCTTCCTCAGTCACTTGCTGTCTGCCTTATACACACTGCTTGTGCACCTCAAGTCTTCCTCCACCTCCTTCTTGCATCCCCCATTTCCCTCCCACTGGTTCATCACCATCAGAATATTGATATCTTGAACACGTTGCAGCAGCTTGTTGTTGAAATTAACCACAGCTGTAAATCTCAGCTTTACCTTGCTGCTGTTCTGCATGCACTCTGTATGAATATATGCCCGAAACATAAACAAAATAACATAATGAACCAAAATAGTTTGCAACATGTGGCTCTGGACAACATAAATATGACCAGGCATGAACAAAAGCATATACTGCATTGCCATATCTCTGGTATAGGGGCAAGCATGATATAGCAATGCTAACATAGGGTTTTTGCTTTATATTCATAATTTACATAGCCCGAAGTGCTGTGTTTGTAATTTTAGAGCACTAGCACATAATGTATGGCCAGCCTATCTGAAGTAAAATTAGGCTAGATTTTAACATTTAGTAGATGAGACCACATACTTGACACTGCTCCACAAGAAATAAAGAGACTACATACTTGACACTGCTCCACAAGAAATAAAATTGTTAACAAAAATGTTTTTCAATGTTGATAAAGTGGATTTGAATTGTAGTTTTGCTAAAATAATATTTGAGCACCATTTATAGGCTAAACAGAATGCGATATGATGTACTGCAGGCCTTTCCTTAATTATTTAATGTGGATGGAGATGTGTGTGAAGGTAATGGTAATGAACTTGATTTGAAGCAGCCAAAGACTAGATATGAGGACAAAATTTGACACTCCTACTATCTGTCACTCCTTTATTTCATTTAAGCGTCTTTTACTCAAATGTGACCTCAGATTGCTGGAGCCCACTAAACATCTGCCCCACCCAACACAACAGATGCACATATATTTATTTTTATTACCTTCTTATTATGTTACTGGACATGGAGCTTGTTTATTCTACTTAATGGAAAAAAAAAGATTCAGCTTTGTGCTTTGACAGTGGATGATAGTAAAAGACTAACTGAAATAGTTTTTCTATTTTTCATAATTAAAATTAGAATACTGAAAAGCTAACATGCGTCACAAAGTTACTGAACTGTACAGAGATCTTGGAAAAATACTATTGCTAAAGTTTTCTTCCTAAATGTTCTTATTGCATAATTCTCAGGTCTTATGACAAAACATGCATTTGACAGTGACTTTCCGGGTCACTTGACCAGCATGCTGCTGTCATTCTCCACATTTATTGTGGTAGACTACGTCTCCCACTGGGACACTTCTGCAGAATGTGACAGCGGAAAACATGAGGAATGAAAGCTTAAAATCTCAGGGGGTATGATGGGTATGATTCTTTGTTTCATTTGTGATAGCTTCCATTTAGAATTGAAGGTGGTTAAAAAGTACATAAAACAAGTGAAAATATGAATGGAGCTCTAATATAGTGAAGCAGCATCATAGAACTCAACAGTTGACACATGGTGTTTACTTGATTCCCACTGAAATTTTCCATAATCCAGAAGACTAGTGATTTTGCAGAAAGGGGATGTTCCTAAATCTGTCCTAAAGGAGATGGATAGAGACTCACTTGAGTATCATAAAAGATGCTGCAGAGAGACTGCCTCCATAATAAGCACCTGAAGAAGTGCTTTAGAACCCTCTGGCGTGGAAATGAAATATAGGCTAGGCATAAATGAAATAGGATTGAGAGAGCAGGGGCAGATCACACTAAAGCCCTACCATAGCACTGCATCCAGCCGGCACAAAATCACAGGGGATTAGTGCCATTGGAACTCCCCAGCCTCTTACTACGCACCCCCCAGTGGGCAAAGAGCTGGGGGGAGGGTGATAGAGTAGGTCAATGCAACTGTTTTCCCCCTTGTCTGTGTTGCCCTTTCCAGTTCATCTAATTTTACTCCAATTCTATTAGTACCTCTGCATCTGTCTCACTCTTTTTCTTGCTCCATCTTTCCATCCTTTGTTTTTCACCTCTCAGTTGAGCAATTTGCAGAATATGACTTTAACATCTCTTTGCTTTTAGTGGGAAGCATACATTTGGGCTTTGACTGTTGTGTAGTGCTTAGTTGTACGACTACTGCCATAATTTAAAACTAACCATTTCATCATGTGATTTAAAAAAATGCATAAGATAAAAATGAGTATTATTTGTAGGTTTACTTTATGTCCTTACTGTTCCCATTGCTGTCACAGCAATTAACTGTTTGCTTAAAATAAAACATGGATATTTGTTAAAGTACCATTCTAAGGCTGGAGGAGAAGAGCAGAGCTTTTTGAGAGTACTTGCAGAATTGTCAGCATGGCAGCCATTCCCAGACATTGTCAGTGTGCTTTTGCTTAGGAACAGTGTTAGGAAGTCAGCTCTTTCACACAAGACAATCTTTTCTTTGTTAAACGGTGTATCCAGAGTTTCTCCAGTTCTTGTTAAGCTCAGAAATGCATTGTATGTGATGCTGAGCTATACAAATAGTTTAACTGTATAGAAATGATTTAGGGAACAGTGGTTTAAAAAAATAAGATTAAGGCATTTCATTTGTCTACTGTCTATTCATAAAGTTTTCACTAATTTGAAAGAGGGTGTCACTGAGTCTTAAGGGTTTTTCCTAGAATGTCTTTCCCAACATTCAGAGGTGTAAAAACAGAGAAAATGTCACTCTGTATTGTAACGTCTCCAAATCTTGAATCAGAAGCAAACTTCAGCGTTGTACATGTTGAACAGTAGCTCTCAGACCATCTCTTTTACTCTACTGGCATTTTCCCGCTCCAGGCAGACCTAATATTTAATATTCTCATTCCACATGGTGTTATCTAGCTTTTCTGTGTGTGACACAGTCTTGGAAAATCCCACAGAAAGTCTCTGATAAGTGGCTGCGCACTGCTGATGTTAGTTGCAGCTAACATGAGCTATAGCCTACCTACAGCTAACATTAGTACTAGCTACAGCAGACCTCTGTAAAGTGAACTTTAATGTTCAGTTCTGTGAGTAAGGACACCAGTAAAGAAAAATACACAGCAGTTTGAGAGCTCCAGCTGAACTCAGGGAATCCGCTGCAGTAGCTATACGGCCACGCTCAGAAGACAGAGGCTTCAATGTGGACAGTGGCTAGGGGGAGAGGGCCATCCTCTACTCGTGGATCTCAACCAAATCACACTCTTTGTGGTTTGCATACTCAAAGCCCTCCCCTCAATGCCAAAACGGTGACAGAGAAGTGAAACTGAAAGAAAAACACTGACGTTGATTGTCACTGGAAAAAAACAACTTTGACATTGACATGGATCAACAAAAACATCCAAAGATTGGCATTTAAAAAATGTTAATAATGGAATTTTTTTTTTCTCAATACAAATGCTTCAATGCCAATGTTTGCTTTTTCAATTACGGTTTTGTTTTCAATGTCAGGCTTTATTTTTTCAGTGCCAAAGACTAAAGTCATCGATCTGGTGCCATAAATGGGGTGCTTTTGACAGCTGGTCTTCCCAGAGCAGTGGTTTACAATACATAATAGAATCACAAATGAATCAAGTTGGGCATCTGCAGAATACTAGCTCCATTAAATGTTGAGGACCAATCACTTATACTTCCAGCACAATGTTACTCTATACAAACGAATACATGACCAGGTTTATTTTTGTTTTGTCAGTCACGGCGCATACCTTATAAAGTTATTCAACACATTAAACAAAAACCAACAAAGTTTGAATCCAATATATTCACTAGTAAAATATACTATTTATGCATTATACCTCACACAGAAAGTGCTTTGAAAAAACAGGTTTATTTTTAACAGCTGAATCTTTTCTTAAATACGTTTACAAGGCACAAAAAAAGCAACAAAGAAGGAGCAATTAGGTAAGAGTAGGTCAAGAAGGAAGTTTGTGAGATATATGGTCATTCCTGTTAATTTTGAATTCTGAACTATTAGAATCATCTTTATTTACCGAGTATGTTGAACACACAAGGAATTTGACTCCAGTGCAGTGGCTTTCAATGTGCTTTTGCAAGATATCAAGTGTGTAAAAAGTGTCCATTTAAACAAGAAAAACCAACAAGAAAAAAGAACGGACAAAAAGTTTGTTAATAAATATATACAATGTGAGAGAATAAAAGAGCTTTGAGCCAAATATGTACAAATTGTTGCACTGGGGGAGCTTGCTGTATGCTGTTGTACAGACAAACATGGATTAACTGTTCATAAGAGTGGTGGGACAGGGAAAGAAACTGGCCTTTTCTCTGGTTGTTTTGGTGTAGTGTGACCTGTAGCACTGTCCAGAGGGGAGGAGTTCAAACACTTTGTGTCCAGGATGTAAGGGGTCTGCAGAAATCATCTCTGTTCTGCTCTTGACACGTGAGCTGTACAGGTCCCCCATGGAGGGCAGGCTAGCACCAGTTTTTTTTTTTTTTTTTTTTTTATAACGTACAATTTGTCTTTTACTGTTCTCTTTGATTGCTGAATCAAACCAGACAGTGATGAAAGTGTGAAGGAAAGACTCAATGATTCCTCTGTAGACCTATATATAGTATGTCTACAGATTTGTTCCTTTTTTAACAAACATTTTGTAAATTCAATCAGATCCTCATTCTAATAAGAACCTACGTTTATGAAGAATCCCCAACAAATATCAAGATCAAAGATTTTTATTGTTAATTCACTATATGTGCAGGACATACAGAAAATCAAGATACCGTTTCTCACCTAGTATTGAATGCCATACCATTTAGGAAACTAAAATAGAATAAAAGAGTAAAAATAGACAAAAAAGAATAAGAAAACTAAGTCAAAGTAATATGTTGGAAACAGTTGTCACTGCACCATACCATGTACTAAATCCTTTTCCATGTTCATGTTTCAGGCAGGAAGGAAGGACAGGAGTGATGCTTTGAACACAGCCATCGACAGGATGACAAAGAAGACCAGAGACCTTCGTAGACAGGTTTGTTTTTTTTTTGTTTTGTTTTTTCCATAGTCTCTTCAACTTGCACCTAACTTAAGTGTTTGTGCTCACAGTTTTTAATGTGAAATAAATAAAAAAATAAACTTAAATGTGTGCATACAGTTTGTTTTTTCTCCCCACCAAAGCAAGTGTTTTATCTGTTTTTCTGTTAATATCATTGATTAGCTTTCTTAGGAGACTGGTGTTTCTATTTTGTAAATAGTTAGAACATGCTTTTCAGTCAGGTCAACAAGCTGCTGTAAGATTTCATTGCATATACACATACACTTTTTTTCTTTTAAAGCTGCCTCTTTGTTTTTTGTTTTCTTTTTACCTCTTGCTTCACAGCTGCGTAAAGCTGTGATGGACCACGTCTCCGATTCTTTCCTGGAGACCAATGTTCCCCTCTTGGTCCTGATTGAAGCTGCCAAGAATGGTAACGAGAAGGAAGTCAAGGAATATGCACAGGTGTTTCGTGAGCATGCCAACAAGCTAATCGAGGTAATGTAGGACTACTTCCACAGTCAATCTGATGTGACCCAAATGCAGAACATCTTATATTTTTTTCCCTTCCATCCCATCAGTTATGGACATTTTAGCTTGGCTCATAATAAACATCAGTCCTCATTCAGCACTTCTGTTCGGTCTGTGTGACTGTCCTCAGATTCCCTCGTGATACGAGTTTAGGATCATAGTACCTCTGAAAACGGCAACCTGAGATCTTTGTTTCCCCCAATGAAAACAAAGCTGTAAACACTGAAATTATTTTCTGTGGTCATTGTCTTTCAGTCCGTGTATTAACGCACAAAAACACAATGTATTAGCTTTTTGTAAATTAAAGGTGATGATTCCTATCAGATGTGCTAAACTCTAAAGTGAGCACAACAGAATATTGCTATTTGTAGTTGCAGAACCAATGGAATTAAATAACCACAACTCAAGATTAAGTGCTGCTTGTGGGAAAGGTTCTTTCTATAACAGATTGATGTAGAACTTCCAAGTTCCACATGTTGGTTTCATGCCCTGACTGATGCTTTAGGAATAGCTGGAGTTTTTACTTGCATACTCCAATACTTTATGCATGGCAGCAAGAATGCAGGTGCATGAGGCAAGTCAAAGCGATGAATGGGGATGGGTAAAAAGCTAACAGGAACATCACCTGTCCTCATTAGTGATCTATTCTTGAAGTTTTTTTTATGCCTGTGTCAGCATCTCATGCTGACATTTGAAAATGACTTCTCCTTATGGGCAGTAACCATATGTAGCTAGACTGGTTGGTTCAGCAAGAGCACAGCAGCATAAAGATTCACAGGGAAAGTTGCTGAAGCATCAGAAGGAAAAGGGAATTCACACTGAGTAGTATACCCTTAAGTAGCTCCTGGTAGCCTAAGTGTCAGATGTGGTATTAGAGCATGACATCAGTGGACTCCTTAATTCTCAGGCACTGCTCCTGCTTATAACACGTCGATGGGATTCACAAAGCACAGCTATGATTACAAATTACTCATGTTACAGATGATTAGCATTTAAAAAAACGATGTTAAATGCAGTTGGATGTGATGAAGTCCCACTCAAAATGAATTTGACAGTGTTGTTTTGCCAGCCTAAGCACAGAAGATAAAAGCTTTAGTGTTTTTCAGCTGCACAAGTGACAAATCGAAGAACCTGTCCTATTAAATTGAATGTACTATAAAATGTACAGTTGCAGCATTGGTTGAAAGTGATAGTCTTCACTGTCCTCTCTTTTAGACAAAATATTTTATCACCTGTCCAGTCTCCATTTCTGTAAATTTGACTGCTAGCTCAGTCTAATTATGAAAGGTAGTTACATATTCGAGAAGCACCACTAACTAATAGGAAGTAGTGAAATGACAGAATTAGCCAAGCATAAATTCTTTGTGCAAACTCAGGTTGTAACTAAAATTTAGTGGAGAAAATACAGTATTTTTATGCTCTCATTAAGAAAAACAGATCATTCTACTATGTGCGTGCTGTCCGTGTGCTACGCTGGCTTCGCACTTGAGTTCAGCCTTTTTTTATTCCATCAACATTGTGACAAAAATGGATCTTTTTGCATTTGTGAATCAGTTTGAAATCATAGAAGATATGAATTGCGATTCTGCAAATTGTTTTTTTTCCTCCCACCCCTACAAGTGCAGTAGCGTGCACAGTACTGCAAACTGAAGTGTGGATTGTGTACTATACCTGCAGAAATCTGCAGTGTATCTTTTATTTTTTGAAAGAATGTGTTGCTCTTAAAAAAAAAAAAAAAAAAAAGATGGGCACAGTAAAATCACATTTTTTATTACATGGAGGAGTCACTATAATATATAAAATTCTTGATCACATTCTATCAATATTTCAAGATAATGACATTACACACAGGGAAGAACACTGAAGTAATCTAAAGGTTTGTTTAGACGCTTAAACATTCAGAAGTCTAGCAGAGGTGTGATTGCATCCAAGGCAATAGAGACAGGAGCAGATGCAGCCACTCTTGACTTATCCTTGCAATTGTAATTTGAAACAAAAATGTGTCTGCTGTGAGTTGAGTGCAGTGAAGATGTTATCTGTAAATTAATAAATCCATGGCCCTGTTTCTTCACAACAAAAATTTAAGGGTTTCATTTAGTAATTACCATAAGCTACATCTAAGTAGCTGATACAGTATTACCAAATGCTTGAAGATGATAATTTATTATTTGTAATCAAGGAGAGAAATGCAACCAGTTTTCAGAAACAGCCAGCGCTAGCACTGTATTTTATCATTTCAGATGAATTCTTAGCTGTGTCTGCACCAGCTTATGTAATTGGATAGTGCCAAAAGGTCAGGCATTGTATACTGTATTTTGTTAGGAAAATATTTCTGTAGCGCCTACATTAATGCAGCAAACTAAACAAATACAAAAGTCATAGTAAAACTCTTGGCTGAAAATGGTGGACATTTTCTTGTAAATACATTATGTAAAATGGGCATTGAATGCTACTTTAAGTCCATGAGGTAATTATCCTCTGCTAAACACTAGATCTAAATGAATGATGTTGCATTGTCCAGTGTGATAAGTAACAAAGTGCATGGTTACTTGTTCAGTAAGCTAGTGAATATGTTGTAAATGTAATATGTCTCTTATTCAGAGGCAGCACCGGCAAGTACTGCTATTCTCAGGCTCTGTTTATGATGTCATGGTTTGTGCAACTGTAGGCTGCCCTAAGGCAAACGGTCCATTAGTTCACACACTTGAAAGTAACATTATGACTGACCCACATTCATTTGTAGCCCCTCTATCCTTATTGGTCAGAACATTCTTTTGAAACCCATCAGTTATAACAAAATTATAGGTTTTACCATATGGGTTTCATTTACCTGAAATCTGAACTGAAATCCTGCTGATAGACTGTGTGCAAGCAACAGCTTTCAATTGTTTATAGACAAATTTATTTTCTTCTGTAAATGAAATCAATCAAGATTGTTTGATTTGGCAACAGACACTGCCACAGTCGGAGCCCATTACTCTTAGGGGTCGGGCTAAAGTATTCCACAGTATTGTAATGCATAGTCTTCTCACTTTGTTCCAAATGTTAAGCTTTATTCAAATGTAGTCATATCGCAAAGGAAGCAATGGAATGGCATAAATGTTCATACTGACATTTGTTGCTGTTATTTGTTGATAGTTTAGCATCTTTCACAAGTGTTGACAGACATAGTAAGCAGTGAAATTATCATGAGCTGGTGAGCTAATAGACTAAGCTAAGTGTTGTTCCTTCGAGCCCATATTAATAAAAGGCATACACACACAAATGTTTTTGCTGTAAACATAACAGAATTTTGTTGATATATGCTGTCCATATAGGTGATTTTTGTTCCCCAAACCAAATATATAGTCTGCAAAAATGGCATTTTCTTGTTGAATGTAGCTAGTTTCTTTCTGATTTGAAAGTTGAGTTCTGCTGCACCCTCTGGCTCCTCCCTCATGATGACACAGAGAAGACTGAGGTTTTTTTTCTCAGCCTTAACAGTATATTTTGGGTTGACAACCAGTAACTTTAACCGTAATAAACAGCGGTGCTACTCGTACTCCCCCAGATGAGAGAGAGAGAGAGAGAGAGACACACCCGAGAACTTCTTGTGTAGGGATGCCATCTTGGGTCCATAAGTATTTGGGCAAGGACACAATTTTTGTAATTTTGCCTCTGTACACCACCTAAATGGATTCTAAATGAAGCAGGCAGTGCATTATTGAAGTGCTGACTTTCAGCTTTAATGCAAGGGTTTTCACAGAAATACTCAACTGTTTAGGATTTACAGCCCTTTATATACATCGTCATGGAGTTTTTTCTAAGTTAATGTGAATTGCAGTTAAAGATGTGGTTGGAGATTCATTTTTTTTATTATATATCTTGAAATTCTCTTTTCATCCCATTGGCAATTAATTTATTAAATCAGGGATTCTCAACATCTTGTGACTCAAGGCCTACCTTTGATTGTAAGAAGAAAAAAATGTTTACCAAGGACCACCTTCCCAAATAAATGAGGGGAAAAAATTAACCAAAATACAACTCTCAAAAAGGGGATGGAAAATGACACCATGGTGGCCGTGTTTCTGCTAGATGGGTTATTATCAGTTTTGTTTTGTTTGGGGGGCATTTGCTTTTTTTCCTGAAATATGTAAGTAGCAGCCAGGCAGTGCGCATTGCAGTGTTCGTTGTGTTTTGGAAGAGTGGCTTTGGAGAGACATCAGAAGGAAAAGGTGGGATTTCTTCAGTTGTCTACTTTCAAAAGGGCAAGCAAGAGGTTCCTCTTGCTGGTTTTTCCAGGTGCACCAACCTTGCCTTCAAGGAGAGGGTACGCTGTTGTAAGGTCATAAGGATGATATTTATAGTATTATCTTTCAATGGTGTATTTGCAGGATTGAATAACTCGGGTGATTTGACATGTTTATTGAATGAAATGCTGCAGAAGTTCAGGGTTGTAAAACTTTGATGCCTTCTAAAGGTGTTACATTTTTCTGGGGATGCAAGCAAGAATTAAAACAGGTGCATTTTATCCAAACTCCCATGATTTTGTGGTAAAATGGTTTGGTCATTTGTTTTCAGTACAGCATGGCAGCCATATGTAGTAGTGTTGGTTGATGTAAGGATAGAATTTCTTTTGCTTTTGGCTTCTTTCATTGTGAAATGGCTCCATTCCCAGGGGCACGGCACTGCGAGTAAGAGAATAGCTATGTGAAAGATCATGACAGTAAAAACACAGGCCTCTACAAATTGCCAGTTTTTCTTTATGTAACCACCCTGTCAGCCGTCTTCACAGGTTACTGACTGCTCTCTGTGTGGTGCCTGCATGTGTTAACATGGTTATATAGGATATATTTATATCAGTGTTTCAGTGTTAAGTGGTTCTCATCAACAAAATTGCTTAGGAATTCTGAGGTGGCACAGGGCATCATCTTGTAGATGAGACTGAGGAGCGGAAAATATTGGACCCACTTATTCACTCTGCCCCTCTTGTAATCGCTGAGACATTCCACTGTGCATTCCAGTGCTGTACTGGAAAATCCTGTTTTTATAACCTGACTCTTCTTTACACACATTTACCTTAATATTTTTGCTTTTATAATACCAGGTTTTCCACTAGCTTGAATCCCCAAAGCCAGTAGAGTTCAGTAGGACAAACATGAACAATCAGGTGATCAAATAGACAGAATATTTTTGAGAGAATTTAATTCAAATGAATACCCAGACTATCATTATAAACTGTTGACTTTCAGATGCAGGGTTGTGCTTTGACTTTGTCCAATCTGATTTATGTATATTGTAGTGCAGTGTATTATATGTGACATTTGTTGTAGATATTATGGTAAAACTAGGGTTTGGTTTGTACAAAATGTGACGGTCTCATTGCTTTTGTTGAGTGACCCAGATCTCAGCAGTTAAATTGATGAGTAAAAAAAAAAATAACTGATTGAGGGCTGGAACTTAAAACATAAGCTCCAGGTTGTTTATGGAATAAAAAAAGAACTTGCAGTTCATGTTCCTGCAATAATGCAATCAGGAGTTGGTTTTTGCTTTTGTAATTGATTATGGTTGAGCACTTTTTTTGTTTATTGGATAACAATCCTGCTTTGGTACAGTTCCTCACATCTCAAGGCATTCTGTTTCAGTGTTGTTGCTAGCACATCCTCACCAACAACTGGGTGTGTTCAGTCTCTGATCTAAATTTTTGTGAAATAAGTGGAAGCATGTTACTCTGGAAGATATAAGAATATTTTGAAATCGCGGGAGAGCTTGATTTGTTGGTCAGTACGTGAAAATATACTCACAAACCATTAATGTTGGCAGCTGCAAGCAAAACTTCCTGAGCTCAGCACTCCAGTTCTCACTCGGCTGCTCCGGTTTTGAGAGTGTCAGGAATATTTGCCTCTCTGGTTCCTGGAGCATAATAGCAAGCTGGCAGCCTTGTGATTTAGTTGCTCAGAATAACACAATCCTTGAGTTACCAGTTACAAATTGATATTAGCATTTTTAGAAGTTTACTGCCGGGAAACAATTATTTCACATTTTTAATCTATTTAGTGAGCAGGTTAGCTTCTGTTTTCTACTTACTCTGCTGCTGCTGCTTTTTCCCATGCTGGAGCATCATATGGTTTCATTTTAGCACTTTATAAATCAGTCCTCAGGTGTGGGCCTCTATTCCACAGGGATTACTTGAAGTTATTTAAGCTTTATTATGTATCTTTATATAGCACTTTGTTTTTCTCAAAGTAAATCTGTGGCAGAGTTCCTGTTTGTGGCTAAAACGAGTATTTGTGTGTATGTGTGGTTTCTGCTTAGGTGGCCAACCTGGCATGCTCCATCTCCAACAACGAAGAGGGAGTGAAGCTGGTCCGCATGGCAGCATCTCAGCTGGAAACTCTCTGTCCCCAGGTACCTGGCTGTTTTGCCCCTAACTCAGCTGCCCACCCCCTCATTCATTGTGCAACTATTTGAGTCTTCCACATTGTCTTTTAACACTAAATATGCTAATATAAAAATTACAGTTCAAATACATAGTGTGATCAGTAATTGCAGACTTTTATTAAAAATGCAGCTCCTACTTTATTCCACAACATTGAAATAAAGTAAGTATTCAGTTCTACTTGCATGCACTTAAATATTTTATAGTGAGGTTATGATCCACTTTTTTGCCATGTATATAATATAATTGGGTTATCAAATTAATGTCAAAGTCAGAGTTGGCACAATACCAAAAACAGACTTGGATAACTTGTCAGTCGATTGAATTCAGATGGTATAGATCTGTAGTTTAACACTGTAGTTTAAATTCTAGCATTGTGATTCTGCATTTGTACCAGAAAAGGTGTTTGAGTAAATGGGACACAGAACTGTGTGTAGGTGTTGCCTTTCTTCTTGCAGCATATTCATTTTAACAATAATGAAATTGAATAAAATATTGAAAGTGGCCACTACCTGGTATTGAATTCCAGGGTCTCTGTGCATGCGAGTTAGAAATTTTCCCCAATGCAACATATGCACCTTCATTATAATGAGATGTTTTGTAGACAAAAGATGAATAAAATACTCTGAAATTCTGATGAATATATAGGTCATTTTCATCCATGCCTTATTCATATTTATACTGGCTTCACAAATTATTCAAACCCCTTCACCTTTGCCCACTTAAATGTGATGTAGCTTTAAATTGATAAAATTGCAATTTTTGTTCACCAGTCTATACTAAGTACCCATAATGTTTTTTTTTCAAATTTATTAAAATCAATAACTGAAATCTCTTATTTACAAAAGTATTTAGACCCATAATTGGGCACTTTGCAAAGTCCCTTTGGCAGATGTTACAGTTTCAAGTTCATTTCAGTTCACTTTTATTTGCATAGCGCCAAATCACAACAAAAGTCATCTCAGGACACTTTACAAAGTAAGGTCCAGACCCTTTTATTGTTGTTATAGATGAGTCTTCTCTAAGAGTTTCACACACCTGGATTTGGGCAGTTTGTCCCATTCTTCCTGGCAGATTCCCTCAAGCTCCATCAGATTGGATTGGAAACGTTTGTGAACTGCCATCTTCCGTTCTCTCCACATTTGTTCTGTGGGATTTCAGTCTGGGCTTTGGCTGGGCCCCTCAAGGACAGTCAGAGACCAGAAGCTATTACAGTATTGTATTGGCTGTGTAATTCAAGCTATTGTCATGCTGGAAGTGGAAGTATCCTTGCCGCTGAGAAGCACCCCCTTGGTGCTTCACCATAGGGATGGTATTAGCCAGGTGATGAGCAGTGCCTGGCGTTCACCAGACATAGTGCTTGGAGTTCTTCTCAGAGAATTCAATTATTGTCTTATCAGAGCAGAGAATGTTTTTTTTTCTCAGGCTCTGAGTCCATTAAATGCCATTTGTCAAACTCCAAGTGGGCTGTTGGATGCTTTTTACTCAGTGACTTTTGTCTAGCCAGTCTACCATAAAGGTTGATTGATGGAGTGCTGCCAAGATGGTTGTCCTTCTGGCAGGTTCACCATCCTTGCAGAGGACTTCTGAAGCTCTTATAAGAGTGATTGTTTCTTGGTCATCTCCCTCACCAGGACTCTCTTTGCCTGGTTACTCACCATTGTGCTCCTGGGAATATTTTAGTTTTTAGACATGGTTTTAAACTCTTGCCCTGTTCTATAACTAACCATAATTTTATGGCAGAGGTCTACAGAGAGTTCCTTGTACTTTATGGCTTGAATTTAGTCCCAGCATCAACTGTGAAATTTGGGACCTAAATACACAGGTGCATGTTTTTCTAAACTCTGTCTAGTCAATGTACTTTGCAACTGATGGACTCCAGTCAAATTCTAAACACATCTCAAGGATAACTAAAGACAGCAAGATGCACTTGGTCACAATTGGGAGAGCCACGGCAGGGTCTGAATCCTTATGTAAATGAGAGATTTCAGTTTTAGATTTTAAATAGGTTTGCAAACATTTTTGTTTCACTTTGTCATTAGAGGTTATTGAATTTTAGTAGTAACATTTACAACATACATTGATGAGGCATAACATTATGACCACCTGTACATCTATATACACTTCAATGCAACACTTAACAGTATAGATTCATATTGTTTTTTTTTGTTTGTTTTGTTTTGTTTTTATGTAAACTGCAAATGGCTTGCCCCAACTTGGTTTTTAATTTCACACATACTCTAGTGCATATAATGGTCAAGTCAGGTAGAACAGAGAGACACTTAAAACATCAGTACCTAAGATAGTTTGTGTCTACCATTAGGCTGAACTTTTCATGCCTCTTACCATGTTAACTACCAGTCCACTTTTGTAGCTCTGAGTCATGCCAGCTCTCTCCATTATACTGCCTCTACTTTTTTTTTTTTGTAAATTCTCTTATAAAGACTTCCATTCATCCTAAGTGTTGATATCCACAGATGTCTTCCCCAAAACAATCAGCTATTAGTTTTATTTCATTCAATCCTTCAGAACACCCTGTGTATATAATCACTCCCAGAAATGAATTGGCTACATGCAGCAGTCTTAACATTGAGGTTTGGGGGAATGTGGGGCTTTGTGCAATCAACCTATACAAATGTTGTGGCTGGGGGCTATGCTGTAGTTGGTCTTTAATGGCTGTAATTGGGTGATTACAGGTGATTAATGCGGCGTTAGCCCTTGCTGCCAAGCCCAACAGTAAGGTGGCCCAGGACAATATGGATTTGTTCAAGGAGCAGTGGGAGAAGCAAGTCCGCGTTCTCACTGACGCAGTTGATGATATAACATCCATCGATGACTTCCTTTGTGTATCTGGTAAGTTCTACTAATTTGCACGTCACTGTCATTCCAGAACAGTGTTAAGATGGATTTCCACAAAACATCATTCTTAAAAGGACACAAAACAGCTGTAAAGGATCTGAGGTGTTCATCTTCCTGGTGCGAGCCATACATACCAGTCCGGATTGGGCTGCACAGAGGAAAGCACTGAAGAATCATCAGAAATATGTTTAAAATTGACGTTCTGTCACGCATGTTAAAGCACACAAATGGTTTGTCAGGCCTATCCTTCAAGACCTCTTATTAAGCATCCAGCAGAGCGACTTCTCTCACCTCCATTCAAGGACAGACTATAATTTTCACAGTGGCCATTTACATTTTACAGACTCTCCATTAATAAACATTTTGTTTTCAGCCTTTCCCATCCTACGAATGAGTTTCCCTACGACCCTCTACATTTCAGAACAATGCAAACACCAAATTTCAATATTTATTACTCAAAACATGTTTCATCTTTGACTGTGGAAGCAAAAAAAGGAAAATGTTGTTCTCATTTAAACTAATATAAAAACCTCTTATCAACACAGGCTGATGGCATGTTTGGAGAAAAGTGTTTGACTAATAAAAAGTATACACTACTAACGGTAGCATTGGTCTATGTCCCCAGAGAACCACATCCTGGAGGATGTGAATAAGTGTGTCATCGCTCTGCAGGAGAAAGATGTTGATGGTTTGGATCGCACTGCTGGGGCTATTCGAGGCCGCGCTGCCAGAGTCGTCCATGTGGTCACTTCTGAAATGGACAATTATGAACCTGGCGTCTACACAGAGAAGGTCTTGGAGGCCACAAAGCTCCTCACTGACACAGGTACGTCATCACAGCGACATAATTATCTAATGAATCAAAAACAAAATATGTTTAAATTATTGACTGATGAGAATATTCAGGCCATTAAACCTGACACACTGGGATTAATTTATCTTTTGAGTTGCAGTACATTATTTGCCTTAGTATATTAATGTATTTGTGACTTTTGAACATAAGACAGTGCATGGATGGATTCCAAAGGGGAACCTCTGCTTTCTGTTAAGCTGATGCTTCTATATTGGCGGATTACACCACATAAACCCTTAATTCAATGGGCCCTCATCTATCTTGGTATACAATGCCTTGCAAAACTATTCATACCCCTTGAATTTTTCCACATTTTGTCACTTTACAACCACAAACGTAAATGTATTTTAGAGAACATTAGTGAACAAACAGCATCATGAAGACTAAGGAACATACCAGACAGATCAGGGATAAAGTTGTGGAGAAGTTTAAAGGAGGATTAGGTTATAAAAACATATCCCAAGCTTTGAACATCTCACAGAGCACTGTTCAGTCCATCATCCGAAATTGGAAAGCGTATGGTACAACTGCAAACCTAACAAGACATGGCCGTCCACCTAAACTGATGGGCCGGACAAGGAGAGCATTAATCAGAAAAGCAACCAAGAGGCCCATGGTAACTCTGGAGGAGCTGCAGAGATCCTCAGCTCAGGTGGGACAATCTGTCCACAGGACCACTATTAGTCGTGTACTCCACAAATCTGGCTTTTATGGAAGAGTGGCAAGAAGAAAGCCATTGTTGAAAGAAAACAATAAAAAGTCCTGTTTGCAGTTTGCTACAAGCCATGTAGGGTACACAGCAAACATGTGGAAGAAGGTGCTCTGGTCAGATGAGACCAAAATTGAACTTTTTGGAACATACCAGACAGGTTATAAAGAGACCAAAATTGAACTTTTTGGTCTACAAGCAAAATGCTATGTGTGGCAGAAACCTAACACTGCACATCAACCTGAACACACCATCCCCACTGAAACATGGTGGTGGCAGCTTCATGCTGTGGGGATGCTTTTCTTCAGCAGGGACAGGGAAGCTGGTCAGAGGTGATGGGAAGATGGATGGAGCTAAATACAGAGCAGTCCTGGAAGAAAACCTGTTAGAAGCTGCAAAAGACTAGGGACTGGGGCGGAGGTTCACCTTCCAGCAGGACAATGACCCTAAACATACAGCAAGAGCTACAATGGAATGGTTTAGATCAAAGCATATTCATGTGTTAGAATGGCCCAGTCAAAGTCCAGACCTAAATCCCATTGAGAATCTGTGGCAAGACTTGAATATTACTGTTCACAGACGCTCTCCATCCAATCTGACTGAACTGGAGCTACTTGGCAAAGAATGGGCAAAAAGTGCAGTCTCTGGATTTGCAAAGCTGGTAGAGACATACCCCAATAGACTTGCAGCTGTAATTGCAGCGAAAGGTGCTTCGACAAAGTATTGACTCAAGGGGGCTGAATGCACGCCACACTTTTCAGATTTTTATTTGTAAAAAATCTTGAGCACCACGTATCATTTTCCTTCCACTTCACAATTATGCAATACTTTGTGTTGGTCTATCACATAAAATCCCAATAAAATACATTTAAGTTTGTGGTTGTAATGTGACAAAATGTGGAAAAATTTAAGGGGTATGAATAGTTTTGCAAGGCACTGTAGGTGTGTTGCTGTGTACACTTTATGCCTAGTGTCCTAGTGATTTGTGGCACCATTAATCCCAGATCCTTCTGCCCATTTGTTTCTCTGCTTAAAGGTCTATATAATTTGTCCTTACTGGTAATGTATTTTTAATTTCGTATATTATTAGAATTTAAAAAAAAATAAGATTCACCCAGAACTTTGCTTAGAAATGCAGTTATCTGTTTTATAAAGTTGAGACTGTTTATTATGTACTGTGACATCCACCCATCTCCGACTCAGCTTGCACTACAAATCTGCACACAAGGCACAGTTCAGTTGTCAGATAGCTCTGAATATCTTAAGAGACGTTTTATCACAGTAGTTTTTGTCCGTTTGCTGTGCTATATCATTATCAGCCAGTATGTGTAAGCTGTGTTAGCTCCCATCATTAGCGAGCTAACAAGATGGCAGAAAGATTTGTCGGTTGTCAGATTTGGAAACGGCTTGGCTCTCTTGCAGGCGGGACCATTAAAAAAATCAGGAAATGCAGGCTGTGGTTCGAGCAGGATTACTGCTGAGGCTGAGAGAGGTGACAAAGTTCAGAGACATATTGTTTAGAAGTGAGAATTTTATAAAGATTTTCTCATGTCCTCTCCACAATGAATGGGTGGGATTTAGGTTAAAACCCAGAGTTACTCTTTAATTATAGAATTTCTGGTCTGACATGCACTCATCGGTGTAACAAATATAGGACATTATTAGTGGATTAAAATGGGCAAGAATTTGTTTTTTCTATGTGGACTTTCAGTAATGTTTCAGAGGCTTATACAATTTCATCACTCTTTATAACTTAGTCAGTTTTTTCCATTTTGATTTAAAATAACTGGTAATTATATGCAGATGTTTGGGGATAATTGTATTTTTATTAAGAATCCTAGTTTCAAACAACTAATCACATTAACAAATATACAAAGCATGACTTTCTCAGCACAAATTGTCTTAATTAGGTGGCTGACTATATACAAAATATTGAACATGGTAAGAATATCAACATCTCTACATGATGTACATTAACATGAAATGATTTGAGCCATCAGTAGTAGGTTCTGGAAATTGATCAGTGTAACGGTGACAATGACAATATGACCAGATTTTCAACTATTTTAAAACTTTTAATTTTTCATACAGAAGCCTGCAGGTTATAAACCACATCTTTTTTGTTTTGTTTTTTGTTTTGTTTTGTTTAGTTTTTTTGTTAAGCTTTGCTCACTGCCCTCCTGCTTCCACATTTGCATCCCCACATCCATTCCCCTTTTCTGAAGACCCATCTGAATCCAAACTACTGAATTCGAAACGCTGTTAATGCAGATGTGCTGGAGAGTAGAGCTGGACCCGAATATCTAACTATTCTGAATAACCCCACCCCCTCCACCACACAGCAGTGCCAGTGACATCTACAATCTTGTTAGCAAAGCTCCGTGTGGAAATCATTCAGATAGCAGCTTCTGCGGATCGTCTCTGTTTCTGGTTAAATGACAACCAGCGGGGTCATACAAGCTGTCGCTAACGTCACCTCTGTGACTTAAACACCTCTTTGACTTAAATTGATGGCAAAACAAAATGAATGTGGCTGTTGTTGAGTTTGTCACCTCACTGTAGTTGATGGACAAACAAAAAACATGCTGTTTTGCTGTTACCTGAAGATTGTTTGAGTAAAGGGGCATCATTCTGTAACACCACTGAATAATCAGAGTGAACTGAGTGCTTCTGTATTGTTCCAAGTGCACGTCTTAACAGGTAAAACTTATCCGTCGATCTTGCATCAGTGATGGAAGTGAAGCACATTCTGTGTACACGCAAACGGTTAAGAAGAGCCGTTGTCCAATCCTCTGCTAAATTAAATATTACATAACTGTCAAGGTCAAAGTGTTGTCATATGCACAGTGAGGGAATGCGTTTCCTTGTACAATGAAATTCTTACTTTGCCATCCACATGAATGCCACATAATACAAGTGAAATATAAAGTAGATGAGCAATAACACAAATCTAAATAGGCAGTAAAATCACAAATCTAAGGCACCTTAAAGCAGCAAGTGAAGGCAGCAAATAAAAATACAAGAAGAACACAATATAATGCAGAGAGAATATATGCTATGTGGGAACCGTGGAGTGTAAATATTCAACAGTGAGTTTGCAATTATGGATGTGCAAAATGAATATGTAAACAGTACAGATGGAATTGCATGAGGTAGATCCTGAGTCAGTTGTTTAGAAGTCTGATGGCACTCGGAAAGAAAGTTTTTCAGTCTAGTGGTCCTGCATTTTACCCTTCTGAGCCTCCGCCCAAAGGGCAAGGGTATGAACAGTCTGTGCTGGGGGTGGGTGGGGTTCTTGAGGATGGAGGCAGCTTTTCTATGCACCCTGCGGTGGTAAATGCTCTGCAGAGAGGGCAGTGGAGTCCTGGTGATCTTCTCCACAGTCTTTACCACTCTCTGCAGGCGCTTGCGGTCCATTGATACAGCTGGTCAAAATGCTCTCAATGATGCAGCTGTAGAAGTCACAAAGGATCCTAGGCAAAATGCCAAACCTTATGCCAAACCTCAGCCTCTGTTGGGCCTTCTTGACCAGCTGTTTGGTGTTAAGTGTCCAAGTGAGGTCCTCACTGATGTGGAGGCCCAGGTATTTGAAGCTGCTCACCCTCTCCACTTTGAGCCCCCGGATGAACAGTGGCTGATGAGATCTTCTCTCCTTCCTCATGTCCACTATC